TTACCTCAAACGTTATTATAGACATAATGCACACTTGATTTTTTTTTAATTTGGCGTCTATTTCAGATACGAGTATCCACTCTAATAACGTTTCAAGTAATAAAACGCACACAAACTTTAAACTGTTCGTTTGTGAAGCCCGAATTAACTTTAGTCTCCACACAGATTATCTAAGAATTACGTGATGTTAAATTTCGCTGCTACAAATTCTAAGGTCAATGCTTTTATACAAGAAGTTATTCTCCAGAAATCTGTCAATTTATTGCTTATTATTTACAAATAATGACTGCTAAGTTTAGGTTAGGCTGGCATGAGGCCGTAAGAAGAGAGTACCCAGTGATGATCGAAGTCTCCATACTATCTAATTGGTCTTTGAGCCGAGTTCTCTGACACTCGCAAGCAAATCCGTGTTTCAATGTAGATTCAAAGCATTATTCTTTCAGTGAAACTAGCAACCCCACCTTCTTAACCTGAAAGCTCTAATCTCATGGAAGATGCGGTCGACAGAAGTCGAGAAACCTTATATAAAACAACATGCCTGGCCGCGTACACAATTCCGGAAAATCTTCGTTGAAAATACAACTATACATAAACATGAAAACAATAAACAAAAACTAAAAATTCTTGAAGCTATATACATAAAACAGTTGAAACCTAACCGTAACAAAATAAACTATGAAATCTCCACAAATATTCTTAAATGCCTATAATTGATAACAGAAGCCATTGGTTTATACCAGCGGCTTCCCACACTTAATACTTCTTGTTTTCACTCTCGCGTGGTCATGTGTGACGTCATGAGCTGCGATACAATTTTCGCTTCCGCGTCTCGCATACACGAGTTTGTCGTTGCTTTGAAATTTTTCATGCAACAAAAACAGACTATCATTATTGTTTCGTCCGTGTATTGTTTGATATATTGAAATGTAATTATCATCTTTGATAATGGCTTATGTAAGCCGAAAGCTTAGATCGAATTTAAACATGTATCAATATGATATCCTTTCGTCTTTCAATAATAATGTTATTAAGCTTATCAGAAAATATGAAAAATAGTAATCGATTACACCATGTCATTCCAGTGGGTCTAAAACTAACCGTATGACGAAGGAAAGGAAACTAAAGCGGTTGTTTCAATTAATTTTCATAGGGGTGTATGCTGAATTTTGTATTACATGATTTAGTCATTATAGCATAGGTTAGTGTCATGAAAAACCCTCTTCTTTGGATGTTAAACAATAAAAATCTGAATTCTTATGAGTTAAGTCTATGAAAACAATGAGATTACGAGATCCGAAGTTATCGTTATCGAAAAAATTGTATCGTCGGAAAAAAAGTTATTTATACAAACTTATCAACGGACTAATAGGCCGAATTTTCATGGATGGGAAGGGATTATTTTTGAGTTATAAAACCACTACAGTAACTACCAGTAGTTATGATCCGAATGTAAATACATATATATATATATATATATATATATAACAAAAATAATAGATTTCCTACAGCTCCTTTTTCGCGCACGCGCTAATGTATCGTACTTTCCGTTTCTGTTTACAATTGAAAGACCCGCTGCCCAGCGGTCACTTTGAGAACTAATACGACTCGACCCGCTAAGCCCACAAATTTCGAAATACATCGCTGACGCTATTAATTTTTTTTTCTTTTTTTGGGGGGAGGGGGGCTAATAGAATTTATTGTGTATTGTGTGATTTAATCATAGCATATTTTCTTATGAACAATGACAGAAAATTGTTTATTCAATGACATTTTTGTAAGAAGAAAAAAATGTACACCTGCAGACATCAGGGAATTTCTGGTGCTGAGAAACCCGGTATTTGCTAATTGATGTAGCCAAAAATATAAAATACCAAAGACGGCACCAGTAATCCATTTTTAATGCGCATTTGGTAAGTTGCTGTCAAACGAACAGATTCCCAATATAGCGCGTCCCAAATATCCAAATGTAATTCAAAATTGATTATTTAACCCTTAAAAGGCGGCCATTATCAATTGTTGTTTCGTTGGAGATCAACGGGTGTCTCCAATTGACGATTTAAACTTTTTTCCAACGGTGTCGACATCATTCTACTCCTAATTCGAGTCTAACTTACTAACTCTAGGATTCCTGCAACCACCGTTTGCACTGGGTCTGGCGGCGTCCATTTCCGGGAATGTTTTCTTGCAAATAAAGCTGGAAAACCAAATCAAAAGACAGTTTTATAGTCTGCATACATTGGGCATTTCGACGTCGTGTCATTGTTAGCAAGCAGGTTTCATTAGATCAGTTACGAGTCGCGAGTTCGATCCTTGTGAGAAAATAGGAATGGGGAGGTTCAATTTCCAAAGGTCATAATCAGTCCAAGTCAATGCCATGAAATACTGGGGCGTAAATCAATGCGGGGTGCACGCTTAGACGGTCATGTATCTTTGGATACATGACTGACGAGGCAGATTTTCTCCTGGAGTAGGTTGCCATTTCTTTCTGCGTTAGAACAGTTGCCATCCAAGGCTATAGAACCCATTCTGTCCTGCTATTTATTCATAGCTGGGGCGTGGAATGAGGAGTCATACATTTCCCAAGGGTATTAAGCACGTAAAGCGTTCTTTTATAGGGGGTAAAAAACAGGCCGGCTAGGCGTGGAATAATGGTTAACGAGCTCACACACTAAATTCCCGTAGATTCTGCTATAGTTCCCGTAGCAAGTATGTTTTTTGTTTTGTTTTGTTTTTTTGCGGGGGTGGGGAGATGCAGTTGCTATCCCCATACCCAAGCGGTTATGAATTGTTATTATTCTCTTAGGCTGGTTGCCAACCATGGCGTAAGAGACTACCCTGCTTTGCTATTTAATCCATTGCTAGCGGGAGATGAGGTGGATACATAACTTTCCCTATGGTATTTACGCCCAAGTGAATGTGACGAAATCGAGTGGAATTCAAACTCTGTTTCCTATTTCTTATTTCGAGTCGCTAACCATGACATACCCCTCGCAGATATCGGGCGACTATTGCATATTGATTAAAACAAACACACACACACACACAAACACACAAAGAAAAAAAATAGGCGAAGAAAATTGATATTCGATTTTCAAATTAGTGATTTTTACAAAAAATAAATCTTCTGAAGTCCAACGCCTGCTTTCTAGATTGTCTACGGAGCCACTTCCGTTCCCTCTACAATGCAAACGTTCCAACAAGTAAGAAAAACAGGTTTTCAATAAAAGGAAGGAAGGAAGAAAGAAAGAAGGAATTCTAAAGAAATATCTTTGACGCGCCATCTTAAGAGAGAAGATTTATTTATCTTAAAAACTCATCTTTGCAACGTCATTCATTCCTGTTCTACATTTACAGCGAAATAGGTTACGACGCCTCTGAGTACGCATGCGCTAAGACTGCCTTCTGTCGAATCCAACTAAACTCACACTAAACTTAATCGACAATGAGGTTTCGAATCCTTGTGGGTATTTGGGTTTTACTAAGCTTAGTCGAGATTGGCTTTAGACCACCATAGTTGTCTAGTGAGAATCGAAACAGTCACACGAATAAAGTAATCTGTCAATAACTGTCTAGTTACTTCTAAAGCAACAGTTGGGAGAAGCTTTTTGTGTGTGTGTGTGTATATATATATATATGTGTGTGTGTGTGTGTGTATGTATAAATTCGTTAAAAGCATCATTTTCATGTAAACACTGTTTTACCTGATTTTGAGTATTTATCTATTTATACACTGCTTACGGCTCCTGTACGATCACTGGAGTTAAGCAACGTCGAGACTGGCTAGTACCTAGATGGTTGACCGCTTGTGAATGCCGTAAGCTTAGATGTGCAGGTGGTGTAATGGATAATGCCTCTGAATTGTTAATCAGAAAGCCAAGTTCAAATTCCGGTTGGGTTCGTTATATTCATTTACGCGCAAATAAAATTGGAAAAGGCATGAATCCATATCATCCCTTTCCAGCTATGGGTTAATTAGTAAGACTTGTATCACTAAAATTCTTAATATCTAAAAAATATTTTCTACCTTTTTAAATAACCTGGCAAGGGTTGATAAGTGGTAGAAAACAAATCAACCAATGAAATACTGATTAGTTACAAAGGCATGTCTTTAATATTTATTTACATTCTCTCGAATATAAATGTATAAAAATTACCTTATCCATAAAGTGGGGGGTCAGTTTATATATTGAGTTTAATATAGAATTGGTCCCCCACTTTATATCCACATTATAATTTCTTGTTTGTTGATAAGCCGTAGAAAACGAATCAATCAGTCAATGAAATACTGATTAGCTACACAGGCATGTCTTTTAGATTTATTTACATTCTATGGTATATAAATATATAGAAACTACCGTGGCCACAAAGTGAGGGATCAGTTTATATATTGATTGTAATATAGAATTAATCACCCACTTTATATCCTCATTTCTTGTTTGTTTATCAAATTCTGATTATGTATGAATCCATCTCTTCTCCATCCCCCCAGCTATGGGTTAATTAGTAAGGCTTGTATCACTAAAATTCTTAATATCTAAAAATATTTTCTACCTTTTTAAATAACCTGCAAAGTATTGATAAGCCGTAGAAAATTGAACAATCGATCAAGTTTGCTAGCCATTAGCCTACGTCAAGGTAACCACGACCACTTAAATATTTATGCATACTAATAATTATTTTATATAATTAATAATAATTTTTATGCACACTAATCTATACGTACAGATTGCATGTCATTTATTGTTTTAGTAATTTCGTCTGGTCTGTCCCCGGAGCGAGTCCTTAAAAACGGTATCTTGAATTTATTTAAAGGAACATTTTGACGTAAACATTGGCTTGTTTTTTGGGTTTTTTGTTTTTTTTTTTTTTTTTTTTTTCTGAACTTTTAGCATTTATTTACCTATTTATGAAAGTGTTGAATTAATTCTCAGGTAAGAGCCAGGACTGCTATTAATCAGGTGTGTAGACATCTTCTGAGGAGACTCCGCACACACTCACATATGTACATGATTAAATCTGAGGAAAAAAAGGTGATAGCTTTTCTTTTTTTCTCTCTCTCTCTCTATACCGCGTCTTTATACGGCTTGTCTTTTTGTCTGTCAGATAACAGAAGATACCCGACAGGAATCTACGAGTCACAAATTATTTGTATATCTTCTATTCTTTGAATGTTCTTGTTATCAATTCTTGTTGTGGAACTGCAAACCGATTCTCAGACATTTGGGTCTGCGGCAAGGTGATACCTGTAATACAGGTATCGCCTTGGTCTGCAGTGAACAAAAGCTAATCAAGTTAGTACTGGTTGTTTGTTTTGACTTCAACTAGTGAGGTCCTTCCTTGCCTCCATACGTCTTTTGAATGCTGCGTGGATTCCCATGTTGTATTTTTGGTCATTGCACGAATTTATGTATCTATTTCTTATGACATTGCTATTTTAGGGACACCTACCTTAGCGTAATGACCAGAAAAAAGATCTCTCCTTTCTAAAGAAAGGAAAAATGAAAGCGAGGTCAAGTCCAATGACGGTTTCTCCTAGAAGATGGCTGGTTCGAATCCTGCCGGAGATCGCATAGTTTCCTAATATCTCGAATATTTTAGGCTGGTAGACGAAAATAAATAAATTTTTAGTAAATAAACGGAACCTCTACTTAATGCGAGTATTCACTACAAATAACATTTAAGTTTCATTCGTTTTACACACACTATTATATATATATATATATATATATATATATATATATATATATATATAATGGACTCTCCTGTCGTTTTCGATGTATGTCTTTCAGTTCAGTTTTTATGTTTGTTTCGTACGAGACCACAATCCTGCTCGGGATTTGCAAACAAATCCAAACGAAGGGTATACTGAAAGGTTGACCATCATATGGGCTGATGTGTTAATTCTTAATTCTCTCAGATGGTTAAGACAATTCTTTTGAAAGTCAGTTATACCTCGGTAGCAGGTGTTCCTCCAGCTTGCTCGGTTTTCAACAGCAAGTTCAAATTCCTCTATAGAGACGTTTGCAGCATTTAAATTGTATTTAAGTTTGTCCTTGAAGCCTAACCAAGGACATCCTAAATTACGCTTACCATGAAAAAGTTAATGTATATAATGAAATGGACTGAGTTCGACAATTATTTGAATATATTTATTGGCTATACGTTTTTTTTTTTAGATACAAATATTTGAGTAAGTCCTCTGTTTATAAACAGTATTAACATTCACCGGCCTGAATATCAAAGAAATTTCATAGAAAATATGTGTCCTCCGACAGAAATCGAACCTGTATCCTACACGGAATCGTCATATAGCCTGACGTGCTATACCACTTAGCTACAGAGGAAGCATTTAGTTAACAAGGTCTAATTATTGTTTTTAAACTACAAATTTCAAATGATTCCTCTCAAAGACTCATCTGCTTGAAGCGTATCTTAACGTAAACAAATGACGTCATATTTTGTGATTGTGTAATGGACTAAATCCGATAACTATTTTAATATTTGTTGTTATTCGTTATTTTTTATAGATACAAATATTTAAGTAAAATCTCTGTTTAGCCCATTTCATAATAGATGACGTGATTTGTTTACATTAAGATAAACTTTGAACAGATAGGAGCGCTCGAGAGCAATCATGGTAAATTTGTAGTTTAGAAAAAGGTTCGACCGTGCTAGCCAGACATTTCCTCTGTAGCAAAATGGTGTAGCACGTTAGGCTATATGACAGTGTAAGATACAGGTTCGATTCCTGTCGGAGGATACATATTTTCTTTAATATTTCTCGGACTTGAATAGCAGGTAAATGTTAACTGTTTATTATAAACAAATAACGTATAAACTAATATATATATATATATAATATAAAATATTTGGTTGGATTGATGTGAGTTTGTGACCCTGGGTCTCACGCTTTTGCGCTCGTCAGACAAACTGATTAATTCCCCCCACTCCCATAATAACACTAATACACGCAATCTACATAAACCCAAAATTTTTAAAAAATTAATCAGTTTGTCTGACGATCGCTAAAGCGTGAAACCCAGGGTCACAAACTCATATCAATCCAACCAAATATGTTAGCTCTATCTCTGATATCGAGCGCTTTCTAATAAGTACCCCGCATATAATATATAAATAATTATATATTTATATACACACACTTTTCACATAATATATGTATATAATATAATAGATATATATATATAGTGAGACTACTCCGTTATCTTTCCAGTAGTCTTTAAATAAAGAAATGTTAAATCTGACAATTTTAATTTGTGCATGAAATTTCAAGTAGCATCGATTGGTGAAAAACATAATTCTTCCTAATGTATATTTGTGTGAATTTTATGCTTTCCTTTGCCATCAGCTGTTGTTTTTGCGTGTACAAGACTGTTATTCAAATTCAGTGTGATTTTTTTTTTCCCCCGGTTCTCAGTTTTGCAAATACATGTCTGCAAATAAGTGAGCTTCTTTTTTTTTTTTTTTTTCCAACATGTTTTCTTTTTAATTTTTCTGCTATTCTTTCCTCAATGCTGTCTGTCTTTTTCTTCTTCAGGTCGTTGTTGTTGTGAGAAAATCAAACATGCCGAGTGTCGAGAAGTTTGTGAACAGGTAAGCGTCGATGTCTCATTGCATTTTCATTATTTTTTCCCCCTTTCTATCGCTCTCATTTAGCAAACAACATTGTCGCCATTTTTTTTTCTTAATGTTCATCATCGACTTTGATTTGAGAGAAGTCTACAAAATGAATGAATGAATTAATGTTGTTTTGTGACACATAGACCCTGCTATAAAAGGGTCTGTAATGCCAAAACAAGGACTCCATATTTTATTTTTTAAACACTTACGAGCCGTGTGTACATTTTAATAATAATCAATATTAGGTATTTGTTTTCCTTTTTAATCTTAAATAATTAAAAATAAACTGCTTTTGGTTATTTTTGCTAAGAAAAATTATGGTTCTCCAGCAAACTTTTTTAAAAAATCTAGCAATTTTTTTTTTTTTTTTTTTTTTTAAATCTAGCAATTTTTTAAATAAGTATTAAATGAATAAATCAGTCGAAATTTATGGTCGCATATAGCTGTGGGGAAAATAAAGTCTATTGTGGGGGACGCCGTTCAAATTTTTAATGAATTTTCGTTGACTTTTTTGTCATTCGTAAAATATTAAAAATTCTTAAATAACTGCTTTTTTTCTTTAAAAAATCAATGTTAAAAAGATGGCAACTTTTAAATATTCAACGATATATGAAGAATCTAGTTTTTCTTTTTAGTATATTTCTTAATCATAGATGGTGAACTCTCCAGTCGATTTCGACGTAAGAGGGTCGACGAGTTCAGTTTATTACTGAACCGCCTGGGGCACCTCGAGGTGGTGTAATGGTTAGCAAGCTTGTCTCGCTAGAACAATTACGACTGAGTAGTGAATTCGATCCTCACTGGGTGCCCCCTACTTTCGGCCTTGTGCCACATCTAAGCTACGCTTGGAAAATCACTATAACTAAACTGCCTGGCTACCCACAACAAAAAAGAATCTAAGATGTCAATTACAAATTCGAGTTTTATTTTTTTTTTTTTTTTTTTTTTTTTTACAATGTTTACCCTGTACAAGGCCCAAGAGACACTCGAGGTAGAGGATTACAGAGTAAGAGGCACCACTCCATGTAGATAAAGCCACCAAGATGCATGAGGTGGGGGAACCGGAAATGAAAGGCTTTAGAAGGAAGCGGAAACCCAATCCTAAACAGGAAACAAGGAATAAAGCTCTACTCCTCTTCAAAAGACCGGGGAAGTATGTGAGCCGGACGATACAAAAATGAAGCTAGTACAATGATTTAAAATATTTAATGTTTTAACAAAGGACAGGAAGTGTGACACCAAAATTCGAAGACGAATTGCGGGGTGGGTGGAAGAAGCCTTCTAAAAACTAAGCAAACTATTAACAGGAAAATTTCGTTAGAAACAAAAGAGTACTGAACTGTTATATAATATCAGTCCACCTATATGACAGTGAATGCTGGACAATATCCTCACAGAGGAAGAGACTGGAGATAACGGATATGTGGATCTACAGAAGGATGTTGAGAATACCATAAAATAATCATGTGAGCAATGACGAAGCTTTAGAGAAAATGAAAGCTAAAAGGACAGTTAAAATTAAAAAGAAACAATTGAAAACTTCTAGGGTCCATAATGAGAAAAGAAGGCGTAGAAAATTTAACACTCCCAGGATATTGAAAGCAGAACATCACCTACCTAAGGAGTTTGTGTAAATGGTTGACAGAACAGCGATTAGGAGAGATAGAAAAAAATGAAAGAGAAGTAACTTACAGGAGAGAAACAGAGGAGGAGGAGCAAATATGACGTTAGTGAGGAAGTGGGAAGCTGTTTCTTTTTTTTTTTTTTTTTTTTTTTTTTTTCTTCGTTTCTCTTCTTCGTTTCTTTCCTTTTGGTTTCTTTTCTTTCCGTTTCGTTTCTTCGTTGAATGCTTTATCAATGGTCTTTTTATTGCTGTAATAAAATGAACCCTACAAAAATGTTCAAATAAAATAAAAAAAATATATATATAAATGATCTTGTCAAATTTGCGTGGGGCGGAAAAACAGACAAGGTTTCTGGAACTGCGCAAAACTCTAGTTTCTAATTCTCCTCAGGTGTTCTTTGACTCCATTGTTGAATTTCAGGAACAAGCAGAAGCCTATATTCTGACCAACAGTCGTTCCTATCGAGAATCAAGTGCAGGTGGCGGTGTAGAAATAGTAACGCACATCGCAAAGGAGGCAGATTGGGTACGAACAATCGTATTAATAAATACAGTGAAGGAGCAAATATCCCAGGGTAAAATTTAATATTTCCTCTTGGATATAATTTATTAGCAACCCCACTTTTATTTTATTTATATTTTTTTTTCCTTTGGTTTTCAAGCTTAAGTGTTAGTCACGATTTTTGCCTGACATTCCACAGCTGCGCCGGCGAATCCTTGACGCGTCAGAAATTTCTCAACATGGGGCAACATTTCTGAATGAAAAATTGAATGGGCCGCGGATTGGACGTGAATCAGAAATAGCACGCCGACAAATGGCGGCTTATGCTATTTCGCTCTGTTGGGAACGGCGGAAAATGAATCAATGTAAATAAAATAACGTGCTTGCTTGTTTGTCCTCTATAGACTCGACGAAGTTAAGCAACGCTGAGTCTTAGCAGTACTTGAGAATACCAGGTTCTGTAAGCGTGGATGTGCGGGTGGTGTAATGAAAAACTGCTCGGAACTCGAAACCAGAGAGCAGAGTTTCAATTCTACTCTGGTTCGTTATATTAAGTTACACGTTTGGAAAGGTATGAATCTACCCTTTCTCCTCAAACTATGGGTTAATTTTGGAGGACTAATGGCGGCTTATCTGCTTTAAATGACCCACAAACGTAAAAAGTTAATTAGTCTCCAGTCGTTAAATTAGATATTTTCACTCCAAAATTGTCATCGAATTTCCGTCCTTTTAGATATTTTAAATCATTGTACTAGGCTTATTTTGGTATCGTCCGGCTCACATACTTTCCCGGTTTTTTGAAGAGGAGTAGAGGTTAATTCCTTGTTTCCTGTTGAGGATTGGGTTTCCGCTTCCTTCTTAAGCCTTTCACACCACCTCTTGCATCTTGATGTAACTCTCTTATTACTGAGAAGCGAGTTCGATCCTCACTGGGTGTCATAACTAAAATCAGCTGAGGAAATAACACTTGACACCTTGATTATTCGAAGTTAAAATCGGAGCACAGACGAGATAAAATCTATAACAATATGGGAAATTATTACTAGTAATATATATATATATATATATATATATATATATATATATATATATATATATATATATAATCCGTTGGTATAAAATCCAAGTGAATCTTATTAACACAAATATAAAATATTAAAACTAATTCACACATCAATGTTTTTTATAATAAACAAAGCAATATATTTCATACAATGGGAATTAAGATAACATTATGTAAATAATCATTTTCACCTTGTAAAATTAAATTTACATGATTTTTCAAACAGTCAATGGATGATAAATTATTGCTGGGATTTTTTTTTTATTTCAACAATTTATAATCCATTGACTGAAAAATCCTGTAAATTTAATTTTACATTGTGAAAATAATGATTTACATAATAGTATCTTAATTTCGATTGTATGAGATATATATATATATATATATTATATGCGCGGGCGGATGGGTACTGAGGAAAGTAGGTTGAATCGAGAATCTTTTAGTGAACACGAAGTCAGTAACTTGACAAGTGCTTTACTTGATGGTAGCCCCCCCCCCATAAGAATTTGATAAATTCTTTATAATATGAATAGATAGGTTCGCCTATCGTCCGGTTCATACACCTCCCTGGATTTTTGAACAAGAGTAGAGCTTTATCACTTGTTTCCTGTTTAAGATTTGGTTTCCGTTTCTTTCTAAAGACTTTTCATTCTCTTTCATTCGCAGTAGACCCTTGTCTCTTAGTGGTATTACCACCTTGCTTCGGGTGAATTTATTATATATAAAATAAGGCACGGAAACAAATTTGGGCCAATTCGGGAGCCTGGATGAATTTGTAATAAACTCTGCAATCATTTCTTTTACTTAATATTCTTGCTGAAGCCCATGAGTTTTATGAAGACATCCACCCCCCCAAAAAAGGTTTGTCATCGATCTTGCCTCCTTTTCTGCTTTTTTTTTTTTTTTTTTTTTTAAACGATCTTCCTAGGAACGTTCTCAGATCGTTAATAGACATATATGCTGATGCTAATACGGAAACACCTCCAATAATCAGGATTTTCAGGGCTTTACGGTTGATCTCTCAGTTGATCTAACCCTAACCCAGCTTACCCCAATAACAGTCAACCTAATTTCATCTTCATCGTCCTGGATATGCTAAACTACATCTGGCAGTAAGGCCTCTGATCGAGAGGTTTTGAGGTGTGTGGAACCACTTCTTAATTGCTGTTTTTCCAGGTCCACCCTGACCCAGGGTGGTAGCACCTTTTAGGGTCCCAGCTATTGGTAAATATTAAACTGCCAAACTGGGGTCAAAGCATGGAAATATAAAAATACATTTGAAAAAATTACCAGCTTTACATTGTTGGGAAAAATGCCAGTAATAAATTGTTGGGAAAAGAAAAATTACCAAATCTCGCAAGAAAGTAAAATTTCGGCATTCAATGACCCATAAGGAGTTGATATGCAGTTAAACCAACCAACCAACCTAACCCCTTTTACGACTCTTGTGGCATCGTTCCTATTTTGTGTGCGTTTGAAAAAAAATACTTCAGAGATGGGACGAATATATCGGCCAAGTCTTCCACGACGAAAGATAACCGGCAATACACAGAAATAGCGAAAGACCATAAATATTAAAGTGGAATCAGCACTGGCCAAATTGAACAGAAACAAAGCAGCAGGGCCAGACGGAATCATAACTGATAGGTTGGCAGAAATATAGGTAAAAAAAAAATTACTAACAATATATTTTCAGAAAAAAAAATACCGAAGCTCACAAGCAAATAATATTTCAGCGTTAAGTAACCCAGAAGGAGTTGAGATGCCTTTAAACAAACCAAATCATTTCATCTCGGACTGTAAGCTTTCTTTCGTCACAATAAACGGATGCCATCTTAATCCGTCTCCTTATCTCGGAACTTGTGTATATGACCAACTGCTAAAGATGCAGGAAAATAGTTGGTTCATTACACCGAAATCCTTTTGAGATTCTCTCTTGTTTTCTTTTCTTTCTCTCTCTCGTTTTCCTCTCTCTCTCTCTCTCTCGTTTTCCTCTCTCTCTCTCTCGTTTTCCTCTCTCGTTTTCCTCTCTCTCTCTCTCTCGTTTTCCTCTCTCTCTCTCTCGTTTTCCTCTCTCTCTCTCTCGTTTTCGTCTCTCTTTCTCTCGTTTTCGTCTCTCTCTCTCTTTCGTTTTCCTCTCTCTCTTTCGTTTTCCTCTCTCTCTTTCGTTTTCCTCTCTCTCTTTCGTTTTCCTCTCTCTCTTTCGTTTTCCTCTCTCTCTCTCTCTTTCGTTTTCTTTTCTCTCTCTCTCTCTCGTTTTCTTTTCTCTCTCTCTCTCTCGTTTTCTTTTCTCTCTCTCTCTCGTTTTCTTTTCTCTCTCTCTCTCGTTTTCTTTTCTCTCTCTCTCTCTTTTCTTTTCTCTCTCTCTCATTTTCTTTCTCTCTCTCTCTCTCTCTTTCTCTCTCTCTCTCTCATTTTCTTTTCTCTCTCTCTCTCATTTTCTTTCTCTCTCTCTCTCTCTCGTTTTCTTTTCTCTCTCTCTCTCTCTCTCTCTTTTTCTTTTCTCTCTCTCTCTCTCTCTTTTTACTTTTCTCTCTCTCTCTCTCTCTTTTTACTTTTCTCTCTCTCTCTCTCTCTTTTTCTTCTCTCTCTCTCTCTGGTTTTCTTTTCTCTCTCTCTCTCTCTCTCTCTTTTTTTTTCTCTCTCTCTCTCTCTCTCTGGTTTTCTTTTCTCTCTCTCTCTCTCTCTCTCTGGTTTTCTTTTCTCTCTCTCTCTCTCTCTCTTTTTTTCTCTTCTCTCTCTCTCTCTCTCTCTCTCTCTCTGGTTTTCTTTTCTCTCTCTCTCTCTCTCTTTTCTCTCTCACTCTCTCTCTGGTTTTCTTTTCTCTCTCTCTCTCTCTGGTTTTCTTTTCTCTCTCTCTCTCTCTCTGGTTTTCTTTTCTCTCTCTCTCTCTCTCTGGTTTTCTTTTCTCTCTCTCTCTCTCTCTGGTTTTCTTTTCTCTCCTCTCTCTCTGGTTTTCTTTTCTCTCTCACTCTCTCTCTGGTTTTCTTTTCTCTCTCCTCTCTCTCTGGTTTTCTTTTCTCTCTCTCTCTCTCTGGTTTTCTTTTCTCTCTCTCTCTCTCTCTGGTTTTCTTTTCTCTCTCACTCTCTCTCTGGTTTTCTTTCTCTCTCACTCTCTCTCTGGTTTTCTTTTCTCTCTCACTCTCTCTCTGGTTTTCTTTTCTCTCTCACTCTCTCTCTGGTTTTCTTTTCTCTCTCACTCTCTCTCTGGTTTTCTTTTCTCTCTCACTCTCTCTCTGGTTTTCTTTTCTCTCTCACTCTCTCTCTGGTTTTCTTTTCTCTCTCTCTCTCTGGTTTTCTTTTCTCTCTCTCTCTCTCTCTCTGGTTTTCTTTTCTCTCTCACTCTCTCTCTGGTTTTCTTTTCTCTCTCACTCTCTCTCTGGTTTTCTTTTCTCTCTCCTCTCTCTCTCTGGTTTTCTTTTCTCTCTCACTCTCTCTCTCTGGTTTTCTTTTCTCTCTCACTCTCTCTCTCTGGTTTTCTTTTCTCTCTCACTCTCTCTCTCTGGTTTTCTTTTCTCTCTCACTCTCTCTCTGGTTTTCTTTTCTCTCTCACTCTCTCTCTCTTTTCTTCTCTCTCCTCTCTCTCTCTCTCTGGTTTTCTTTTCTCTCTCACTCTCTCTCTGGTTTTCTTTTCTCTCTCACTCTCTCTCTGGTTTTCTTTTCTCTCTCACTCTCTCTCTGGTTTTCTTTTCTCTCTCACTCTCTCTCTGGTTTTCTTTTCTCTCTCCTCTCTCTCTGGTTTTCTTTTCTCTCTCACTCTCTCTCTCTGGTTTTCTTTTCTCTCTCACTCTCTCTCTGGTTTTCTTTTCTCTCTCACTCTCTCTCTGGTTTTCTTTTCTCTCTCACTCAGTTATTTTGATATATTGATATTGTAACTCAAACACGTAAAACTCTACTTGCAATAGAAACCGCTGCAGCAGCGTCTAGTGTGGTGAGTCTATGTCCCAATGCAACACAGCAGATGTCTACATGACTTACATACTTTGGGCACGTGCCATAGATTGTATGTATCTAAATATGTTTAACTACTGCGTTGTTCCGTGTTATCGATTTTTTTTTTTTTTAACTAACGCACACACGTAAAGAGTCCATTTTCTGCCCGGCAGAATGGCGTCGTTGGCTTTTTTTTTTCTTTCATCAAGAGGACGGTTTACTCAACAGAGACATTTTAATTTTTTTTGTTTTTTTTTATTTTATTCGGGAGGTGGGGGAGCCCTTCTTGAAAAGAAAGAAGGCAAAATGGCTAATCATTTGTGCAGTGGTTTCGAAACCTCTGAAGCTGTGTTCCGATAAATTTCCTTGTGTAATTAGTACCAAGACGACGATGAAAATTGGCGGGAAACGAACTGAGATCAAAAAAGATGGCCACTAAATAGAGAACGGACATTCTCGATAAACAGAGACAAAGATCTTAATCAACAAGAGATAATGCAATCAACACTCAGTGCTCACACACACACACACATATATATATATATATATATATATATATATATATATATATATAGTAAAGCACAGAGAAGGCGAACAGTTCGAATTTCGATTGGAACTATGTATGTTTACGTTGCACAAATACGTTTGTAAAAGCCGTGAAAACCTTACTGCCTGTTGGATTTAACTTTTATGATTTAGTTGAACGTGTTTTACATAATCTCAGTTCAATCAGGAGAATCAACCAGCTAGTGTATGTCTCTTACCCACGTTTTATAATATGTATTCAAATGTAAAAGAACGAAAATTGATTTCAGCGTTCAAAACATTAATTTAAAACAGAGCTCAATACAAAAGTAGAGCAATAAATATTTATTTTACTGTGTTAAATTAGAACATGCAGATACCCACTACAAAACTGTACATCTTGTTTCAACGTTAATTTTTTTTTTTTTTTTAACGTTTCATTCATCAGGTGGGAAATCACGATGCTCCTAAAGGTTTAGTAGCATCGTGATTTCCCACCTGATGAAAAGTTAAAAAAAATTTTACCGTTGAAACAAGATGTATAGTTTTGTAGTGGGTATGTACATGTTCTAACGTAACACTGCATAATACACACAGACAGGTGAACCATAAGTAGATGGACACTACATTAAGATGCATTTCAAGTAATTAATACACAAAGATTCTTGTCCAAAAATGTTTGTCGAAGCGTGGGAGATAGACTTCAAAGCTGCGTAAATTGTGATGGACAGCGGTTTGTATGTAATCTCAAAATAAATGTTATCGTTGATTGTTCACCTACTTTTGGTTCACACATGTGTGTGTGTGTATATATATATATATATATATATATATATATATATATAGTGTGTGTGCACGAAACAGATTGTGGCCGCTCGTTGTTGACCTCCGTGTCCAGTTTTATATTATATATATATAATATATATATATATATATATGCCATTGCTGATATTGAGCACTTTTACGCATAAATATATCAAACGTTACAAATGCTTAGATCGTTTGCATACATACCTACAATTATATTGTGTATATATATATATATATATATATATATATATATATATATATATATATATAGCTTGCCACTCGTATTCGCGGATACTCGTCAATTAGGGCAGCCAGCCAACCCTTATTGTAGATGCTCGCTCAGGCTTATTTGTGTTCAACACCCACAGATCCCACATGTGGCTTATACTGCAACTATGCTGAGCAGACCTTAGTTACAGTTTCTGGGAGAGAGCGTGTTATCTAGCGTGATCAACATTCTGAACAAGGCCAGCACACTCAAACTCTCGGTCACGATGACTTGTGACTTTGTGCTAGCACAGCTATCGACGGCCCCTAAAGATTCTGTCTACCCAATTTCACCCACAAGACTTGGGTCAATCCGTGACACGTGGTATGGTTTTCAGGCACTTTCCAAATTGTTTATACGTAAGATATATATAAACACAGTGGATGAAAAAATCTGGATAGTCCAATTTTCAAATAAATTGGCAACCGAAGAAAAATGAGGAAAAAAGAAAGACCCAGAAACCTTCGAACAGGGCGAAAGAAATTGTCCAGTACCTTAAATCTCTGCTACAAAGGAAAAAAAACCAATAATATAATTTACAGAACTGTGACGTGTGTCTCTGCTACTAAGATTTTCATGCTTTATAGCTCAATCGTTAGGTGATTTAGCATGAGTAAAACAAATTCACGTATATGGACGAAAAAAAGTCCCCTGAATGAGATCAAAACCTGCGTATATGTGTCATCCTTCACTAGTCGTGCTTAGTTTAATTTGTAACTTACATAAATGTGAATAGAAAAAAAAGCAAATGTTGGTAAGATAGCGTGGATCACAAAGTACTTCCCGGTGCCTCTAATCGGCTGTGTGTAATATATATATATATATACACACACACACGGTGAGGAAAAAGTCATTCATCATAGACATAATTTATTAAAAGTATAATTACGCATGAAAATTTTATTTCCTATTTATTTGATTGTAAATTTTTTTTTTTTTTTACCTTTTATGGAAACTTTTCAATGACGGAGGTGGAAAATGTGCTTCGTTAACTGCATTTCAGAATAAAATATTTTAGTAGCATTGTGATTTCCCACCTGATGAAACGTTAAAAAAATTTTAACGTTGAAACAAGATGTACAGTTTTGTAGTGGATATGTGCATATTCTGATGTAACACTGCATAATAAACAAATTTATTGCTCGACCTTTGTATTGAGCCCTGTTTTAAATTAATGTTTTGAACGCTAAAATCTCACTCTTCGTTCTCTTACATTTGGACATATATACACGAACACACTAGCCGATTACCCGCGCCTTGTCACACATTTTTTTTGTAAGAAAATGATTGATTTTAAATCATTGTTATAATTTGTGGCGAAAAATGACGCATTTCAAAATTACTCGATGATCTTGCCGATGTAACCTCCATCTTCTGGCCCTCTCCTTCTATATTTTCGATAGGAGCCATCCCCTTGTTCAAATTTAAACCAAAGGAGAAAAAAATTCAGCGGGTGGTTTTGCGCAAAAACAGCTCCATCTGGCCTCTTTCATATGTATTTGCTGCAATACTTGACTGAATGAATTGATGATCAGATTTCAACATTGATATGACAGTCGATGGTGATTCCTTGCCCAACTTGACGTCCATATTGTCTCATTTTGATCTTGCCGATGTGATCTCCATCTTCTGGTTTTCTCCTACCATTTTTTGGATACGAGTCGTACCTTTGTTCAAATTTTAATCTCAATCAAAGTGTGGGGGGGGAATTCAGTCAGTGTTGTGCACCCGGGGACACCCTTTTGATCAAAAGGAAATATACTTATCCAAGTACCTGAGAAATGCAGTTTCGAGAAATATATATATATATATATATATATATATAGTTATGGGGTTCGATCTCCAAAACCTTAGGAGGAGTTCGATAACAGACAGGAGGGTACGTATTAAGACAGTGTGGGTGACCCAGTGTTGCGTTCTTTTTATTTATTTTTTTCTCCGCTTTAAAAAAAGAATAATATACATATCAGAAATTTTTAAAGACTTCTTGGTTGGGCTTTGAACTTTTCTGTATTTTTTTTTTTAATCCCTCATATTTACATTAATAACATACACCTAAAATTATAAACAATATGAAGTTGTCGAAAAAAAGGGATCCGAAAGTGCTGAGAAACGGAAAATGTTTGATAGAAACAAAGAAAAAAAGTGTTGGATTGCTATGTGATAACCATTCACTTATATGGCTGTTTAATGTTGGACTGTATCCCCATGGACGAGGAGAGAACTGGGGGCAGCAGAAATGTGGTTCTACAGAAGGATGCTGAGAATGCCATGGATGGATCCAGTAAGCAACGAAGAAAATACCAACAGAAAGAAAGCTTATTCTCAGAATAAAAAAGAAATAGATAAATTTAATTGCATACAACGGGGAAGGCAGGCTTGGAAAACAAAACTCGAACAGCATGTTCAGGGCAAGACAGCGATAGGCAGTAAGTCACCTAATGATCTTGTTTCAAATGGAGATAGGAACGGCTGGTAGGACCCTTAGCAGAATTACAAAGATTGCTAAGAGCCATAAGGGATAGGAAGTTGTGGAGGGCTATGATTTCCCATGCCCTGATGGAACACAGCACATAGAAGGCGGCGGCACCAATTAATAAAAAATATCTAGGGAAAGTTATCAAGATAATGGTTGACCACATAATGTGACACCGAGATCCGAAGCCCGCAGTAGACTAGCGAAAGAAGCAATCCAAAAACGGAGAGACGGAAAAATGTTCATTAGAAACAAAGATCACCGGATCGCTATATGACATCAATCCTTTTATATGGTTGTGAATGCTGGACAATCTCTCCACGGATGAGGAGAAAACTGGAGGCAACAGAAATGTGGTTCTACAGAAGGATACTGAGAATTCGAGGGACGGCATCTGTAAGCAACACGGAAGTTTTGAATGGCAATAAAAGGACACTTATACTCAAAATCAGGAACAGACAACTGGAATTCCTTGGACCACATAATGAGGAAAGAGGGCTTGGAAAACTTAACCCTCACAGGGCATACTGAGAGCAAGAGAGATTGGGGAAGGCTGAGAGCCACGAGCTAGTGTAAATGGATAGCGGGACGGGAGGAAACTGCTGAAAGTCATAAGGAATAGGAAGTTGTGGAGACACACGATCGCCCATGTGCTGAAAAGACGCTGCATATAGAACTATGAAGTCCCTTTTGCATTACTAGTCCTTCTGCGTTTCACCATCGGAATTTTTTCTTGTGAAGGGGGTCTGTTGATTCAATCGAACAGAAAAACCAGCTTCTGTTTCAACAAGCCTCGTTTTGATCGCTATTATCGACAGTCTATTGGTCGCTGGCCTGAGCAAACCATAATATTCAACAATCAACATGGATGCCTCGATTCTATCGCCCGATTTTTTTTTTTTCCTAGCAAATCCCACTTAAAACGTTCGCACTGCTTTGCCATCTCTTTTATTGGGGACGCCTACAATAATTTTCGTGTAAAATTAACGGATGGCAAAAACCTGTCGTTGAGACCCAAAACGTTACCGGGTTAAGGAGGAGGAAAATCTGGAAGACGAATAGTTAGAGAGAGAGAAAAATATTTTCTCAACATAGTTTGTATTTTATTGTTTTTCTTCTCTCTATTTAACGGAGAATTCCACTCTCTGCAGTTTGTTATTCTATTTATCTCGTTATTTACATATATATATATATATATATATATATTCTTTATATCATAATTTTTACGCCTCTATCTTCCTCTGTTAGCTTCTTTCTCCATCTGCGAAGTTTTGGGTTAGTTTTGGGCTGGGTGGATCGCTCGTAAGGTGAAACTTAAGGTGGGGTGGATGGTTAATGGGATTTGAGAAGATAAGACCTCTGGAGAAGAAAAAAAAAAAACTATGTGGGGCCCAGGGTTTTTAGAAAATAATGGCGTGCTTGCTGGTGGGGGAATTTTTGTTCCTTGCCACACTCTAGGCTTTATTTTGCCTCTCTCTTCCCATCGTCCGCTTACACTTTTTCGAGGAAAAAAAAATCGCTCCAGATGGGTGACTATCAACAAATATTAACCTAGATACAGGGCGTAAGATTTCTCTTTTTATATTTCTTCCTTGAACCCGAGATAAGAAACAGACTGGCGGATTAACACCTCGAATTCTCATCTGCTATTTTCCTCCTCCGTTTTTTTTTTTTTTTTTTTTTTTTTTTTTTTCCTCATAATTTTATCCTTCGCTCTCTCATCACCTTCAGTGATTTCTTCTTTTTTTTTTCTGCCTTTTCTTTTCATCGCCTTTTATCCTCTTCCTTCCTTTCTTTTGTTTTCTCTCTCTCTACTTTTTGTCCTTTTCATTTTCTCTCTCTCTACTTTTTGTCCTTTTCATTTTCTCTCTCTCTACTTTTTGTCCTTTTCATTTTCTCTCTCTCTACTTTTTGTCCTTTTCATTTTCTCTCTCTCTACTTTTTGTCCTTTTCATTTTCTCTCTCTCTTTTTTTTTTCATTTTTCTCTATTTTGTCTTTTCTTTTCTTTTTTTTTGTCCTTTTCATTTTCTCTCTCTCTCTACTTTTGTCCTTTTCATTTTTTCTCTCTCTCTTTTCTCTCTCTTTTTTTGTCCTTTTTCATTTTCTCTCTCTCTTTTTTGTCCTTTTTCATTTTCTCTCTCTCTACTTTTTGTCCTTTTCATTTTCTCTCTCTCTACTTTTTGTCCTTTTCATTTTCTCTCTCTCTACTTTTTGTCCTTTTCATTTTCTCTCTCTCTTTTCTCCTTTTCATTTTCTCTTTTTTTCTTTTTCCTTTTCTCTTTCTCTCTCTTTTTTTCTTTGTCCTTTTCATTTTCTCTCTCTCTCTCTTTTTCTTTTGTCCTTTTCATTTTCTCTCTCTCTCTTTTTTTCTTTTGTCCTTTTCATTTTCTCTCTCTCTCTCTCTTTTTTCTTTGTCCTTTTCATTTCTCTCTCTCTCTTTTTTGTCCTTTTTTTTTGTCCTTTTCATTTTCTCTCTCTCTCTCTCTTTTTCTTTTGTCCTTTTCATTTTCTCTCTCTCTCTCTCTTTTTCTTTTGTCCTTTTCATTTTCTCTCTCTCTCTCTCTTTTTCTTTTGTCCTTTTCATTTTCTCTCTCTCTCTCTCTTTCTCTTTGTCCTTTTCCTTTTCTCTCTCTCTCTCTCTCTTTTTGTCCTTTTTTTCATTTCTCTCTCTTTTCTCTCTCTCTCTTTGTCCTTTTCATTTTCTCTCTCTCTCTCTCTTTTGTCCTTTTCATTTTCTCTCTCTCTCTCTTTTGTCCTTTTCATTTTCTCTCTCTCTCTCTTTTGTCCTTTTCATTTTCTTTTGTCCTTTTCATCTTATCTCTCTCTTTACCTTTTTTGTCTATCGTTATCTTTTGTCATCTTCATTACATACATATATATATATATATATATATATATATATATATATATATATATTTTTGCCTTCTTTTTCCCTCTCTCTCTCTCTCTCTCTCTCTCAACTCTCGTTACCTTCATTGTTTTCTTATTTCTCTCTTTCCACTCTCATTAGTTTTCATGCTTTTCCCCTCGTTTTACTACCTTTTCTTTTCCCCCTACATCTGCACACACACACACACTTCCCTCCCTTACCTTTATCCTCAATATTTTTTCTATGGGAATACATGGCAATCTGATACGTCTCAGAATTAAACAACCTGGAAACAACCTGGGCCATCACTGAGTAGAATGTCACATTAGTCGGCACTTCCTCAAATTAAGTTGGATATTTTCTTCCGAGAAAATAAACCCAACCATTTATTCTACAGTGCTTTCGGAGGACATGTCGCCATACTTATTACAACGTTTTGGCCGTTGTCTTCAGGTGGTCGGAATGTCGAACTGAACCCTTTATTTCGCTCGCTGGGGTAGACATGTTCTAGTTCCACGTGCCATGTCTAATGGATGTCAGTTATCTCCTGTTAATTCCTCTCTCCAAGTTCTCCACCGCCTTAACCAGGTATTGAACTCGCACTCTTTAGATCCTGTTACTGGATCTAAATAACGCCTTTATACACTGTGCCATTTCTGAGTATTATAAACCATAATAATATTATAATACCTACTTGTTGCTCTAAAATAAGATGTTATCCCAATTTTCATTTTAAATCCAACAATAATATTGTAATATTTTTTGTCAATAAATTTATGTTTATCAGCATAGAACTAGAAAATGATGAGACCTTACTGCCAATCTAGTACTGCGCTTAAATTTGTAAACTCAAGACACCAAAAATTAATAAAAATTGTTCTCCAGAAACTTCCTCCACCTAAAAAATGTTCTCAAACTCCCCAAATTCTCTACAGATCTTTATCTGAACGTTTCTCTGACTATTCGAAAAAATTAATCTTCCCGATTTCATTCTTTTAGATGAGACAATCTCAAATTATGGCATTTAGGAAATTGGTCGGGCTGTGAACTTTCAGTTAGGTTCTTGAATTAAGTTCATTAATGTACGCTGAATTTGAAATTTAGCCAAATTAAAAGAAAAAAAAATCACTGACAAAAGCAGCAGGAGCATCCAAAAAAAAAAAACATTGATTTCCCCAAATCTTTATTCTTCTCCGACATGTCAATTAAATAAAATAAAAAAAGTTATTTACAAAGATAAAAAAAAGGGCAGTTTCCAGAGAAAGCCTTTATTTCCACTGATGGCGAACAAATGCAAATGTCAATTTTCGACATGGTCCCCCTGTTTTTTGTAAACCTTTCACTCTCTCATATTTAACTTTAACTGTGTTATGTATTTAATTTTTAATTGCGTGTAACTACAATGGTTACTGCCTGTTACTTCAGGTTGTCTATGATGCACCGATATCGAAAAACGGACGGACGGACGGACGGACGGACATACGTACACTGCGCTTTATTTATATAGATTATTATTATGATTATAATAATTATTACTATTGTATCATCTTACGAGAGAGTAATTTTAAGTGCCTAATTACCAGATCCTTACCGGGGTCTATAAATAAAAGGGCCACTGTAGGAGTTTTAATTGGGATAATTGGAACGTTTCGTTTAGCTGGAGAGGGTTTTGCGGATGATATGTGCAGTTCAACACAAAGTAATATTTTGTATATCTGAGATGTTGATGTAACCAAGAATTTTACATCATTTCCGGCCCCCCTTCTTTATCATACCCAACGCCCCAATCACATCAGAGATAATCGTAGTTTTAAGTTTCCACGTTTTTGTTACTTCGATTTGCAGGTCATTATAATTTGACAGATTTTAAAATTCTGTTTTTAGAAACACTAGAATTTCGTCAGCAAGTCATTGCTGGAGAGGGTTTTGTGGATTAGTTGGCAGGTCCCTTTTTTTTGTTGGGCTTTATGATTATGTCCGGTATATTTGAATCAATTTCCTTGTCTCTGAGGATTTGATGATGATAACAATAATATTATTATAATGATAATAATAAAATAATATATTATTATAATGGTAATATTATATTATAATGATATTATAATATTATTATAATATTATTATAATGATATTATAATATTATTATAATGATATTATATTATTATTATTGTTGCATCATTCAAACATTGATATTTATCTCTACTATAATGATTCCAGCCTGAATGTCTGAGAAATTTCGAACAAAATATGCGTTCTCCAGACTTTGCTTACCACACGCTTCTCTCTTGCCAAGTGGTATAGCACGTCAGATCAAATGACGGTTCCGTATAGGACACAGGTTCGATTCCTGTTGGAGAATGCATATTTTCTACGAAATTTCTCGAATATTTGTTCAAAGGTACACCCTGACCCGCGCTGATAGCACCTGTTTGGGTCCCACCTATGGACAAAAAGAAACTCCTCAAACAAAACACTATGAAAGTATAAAAATAGATTTTTATGGCAAAATGACCGATAATACGTTTTATCTGCTGTTGAACGCATACAGTTCCATTCAAAATATTTAGATTTCGGCATCTGCTGTGTGAGGCCCTTCAATTCGATTAAAACAATAATTGATTGGTTTCCAAACTAAAATGTAAAAAAAATCTGGAAAACCCTAACCATGATTTGAAACTGAATCTATGTACTTAGACAACTATTGGACTTTATTTTTTAATTTCTAAATAGTTTAAATTATTTCGATAGAATCAATGAAAAAGCGCAAACTAATAATTTTCCATTCTTCTTACTTTGTATTATATAAATTATATTTAAAATATGTTCTATTTTCAATATTATAGAAGAAAACCTTAAAAATCAGTCAACTGCTGAATTTTATATATAACTCTGAAAATCGTGTCCAGCACTGAAAATATATATATAACCATTCTGTTAAATTGTCCTTTACGCTCTCTTCGACCCTTATTCTCAGCACTTTCTGAGTTTTCAGAGGCTGACTCAGGCAATACAGATTTTAGTCTGGTTACATGCAGTTTCACTGTTTTTACTCATCAAAGCAAAAAAAAAAAAAAGTGACACATCAGACGGGCAGGTTGTCAGAGGGAGGTGGCAAGGTTGCAGGGTGCACACCTGCAATGGAAAGGGGGTTATCTGTTTTTGTAGGGAGGTCAAAGGTCATGCAGAAGATGATGCTTACAGATGAGTCGCTTTGGCCGATCTTGGAGGAGGTGAGCAAATAAAGCTGGAGTGAGGTTGGTGTGTGGAGGGGATGTTGGGAGGAGTGAGAGATGGAAGCATGGAGGAAAAAAAAGACAGAAAAAGTATCGTGAGAGACGATGTTGTCGAGAAAGTGTTTTTATATAATGAACGTGCTGGAAAGAAAAATGTAAGAGTGGCAAAGAAAAAAAAACAACATTGAAAGGAAGAATCCGTATAAAACAAATACACAAGAGGAAGAGTTTGTATAGTAAATCTGCCTTAAATATGTCAAAACACTTCCCAGATATTTAAATCTTTGTACTTGAATGTGTTATCTCCAATTTGTAATTTGCATATTCCTTTTGCTGAGAACCATGCATTCTGTCTTCGTGTAATTGACATTACCTCTGTAGAAGTTTTTGTAGTTTTCTTTCCGTTTCTGCTATCAACACTTTGTCATCTGAATATCTTTTTTTGTTAAACTTGTGGCTGCTAATAATGAATTCTGGTAGGACTTCAGATTCTGTGAGAAACGCCTTACTGTATAGATTGAATAAGTACGGTGAAAAGTCAAACCCTTGTCTTACGCCCTTTCTATTTTTGTATATTTACTAAATTCATTTCTATCCGTATACAGGCGATTTGCTTCTAATATAGGTTCTGGATTATTCTAATATCCTTCCCGAATATGTCAAGATTACTTAGCAGTTCCAACAATTCTTTGCGGCGTAATTTATCAAATGCTCTTGTATAATCTATAAGACACTAGTACACATCCTTCTGCGCGCTGTATTCATCAGAATTCGAAAGTTTTCTTATATGGTTCATTAGGCTAATTAATGGAGTTCACATTCGTTTGTACCTGGCTTCTCACGCAGTGCTATAAAAATGGATCTACCTAGGCTTTCCGATATATCACCACTGTTGTATATTTTGATTATTATGCCTGTCATCAAGGAGGCACGGTGGAGTAAGGATATCGGCTCGGATTGAGGAATCGGAGAGCCGAGTTCGAATTCCAGTCGAATCCATTACATTCACTTACTAATATAGGTATGGGAAAAGTATGAATCATCTTCTTCTCCCCCACCAGCTATGGGTAAATAGCAGGACAGACCGGGTTCTATAGCCTTGGATGTCAATTGGTCTACCGCAGAAAGAAATGACAACCTACTGCGGCAAAAAATCTGCTTCGTCAGTTATGTATCGAAAGATACATGATCACCTAAGCGTGTATCACGCATGGCACATAACTGACTGAAGTGAATGTAACGAATTAGACTGGAATTCGAACTCGGATCTCCGATTCCGCAATCATTACTCCACCGTGAACTCCTGCCTCGTAAACTAGCAGTAGTTAAAAGAACTCGTGGTAGTTTTCTCCCTCCTAAGGGATCTTAAGATGGCAGACTCGTAGAAATCACAGCTAAAACCATGTGCAGTGACTTTCTAAGGGTAGCTTAGGTGTGGCACAAGGTCGAATGTATGCGGCGCCCAAATTTTTTTCTACGAGAAACTTTTAACACTATTACTGTTGCTACCAGATTACTAAGTAGCAATGTCTCTTAGCTTATTAACGCATATACCGGGCGCCTCGGCGACCGTTGCACCGGATACTCTTGTATTTATTTTTCATTGCCCCCCCCTATTATCACTTCAGCCTACACACATGGTGGTATTATTTGTATCCGATTGATACACTACGAGATTGAACCATAAATCATGTCGTCTACTATAGCTTAATCTCAACGATTTCAACTTGACTCACTAAACCGAGCGACTACGCAACGTTGCACAGATACCGAACAAAAGTGGCTATTGCTGCAGTAAGAATGGTCGCCATTGAATTTTCCAACAAAGAGTACAGTATTTCAAACCTTCATCCTTCTTTAATACAACAACCGAAACGGCTTCTATATTCTCTCGTTTGCTTCTGTATTCTCTCACTTGCTGTATTCTTCAGGGAATATCCAGTTGGATTCATTTTTCTTTTAATCATTTCATCCTAAGCAAGACAATAAAGCCACTAGGACGCAAGAGGTTACTAAGTGTTAGAGAATATGTAGTGACATTATTATCTATATAATACTTACAATAATACTGTGATTGCGTGCGTCTTTGTGTGGTACGTCCGTCGTTCGGCGCATAATAATTTACGTGTTGTTTATACAGTATTTTTATTTTAACTCTCTTCAAATAGAATTTTTTTTTTTAATTAAAATATTTTAAGTTAAAGACAGACACAAAGAGATCCCGCTTTGCCGTTTGGTTCAGTTGTTTGTAGAATAACGATTTATATTTAATTTTTTTTTTTTTTTTTTTTTTAACAAACAATATTTCAAATATTTAAAAAATATTTTTTGGCATATTTAAATAATATTTTCCAGTGAATATGATTTTAAAAGATCTATTAGCATATTAAAAAAGTAGTTTTAAGTTAATCTGATTAAAAAAATATTTTAAATGAATAAGATTTAAAAATAAGAGTTCTTTATACATATAACAATTCCTTTTGCATTTTTGTACAAGTGTTCACATATTTTTTTAAAAGGAAAGTCCATCAGAACAATTACCATGAAAGTATTTATAGAAAAGACACTGAGGTTACGTTACGGCGTTGAGAAAGAGACTGAAGCCGAGATGCCAGATTCGGACCAATGATTCTTTGGATTTTATCAAGAATCTCTGAATACGTAGCATATATCGCAGGAGCACCAGGCCAGATGTGTCATCAAGATGTAAAATAGATTCTGGAGAGAAAAATTGTCTAGCTCGACATAGTGAACCAATTTTCTTAACAATTAATTCAATATACTCTTTCCACTTAATGTCAACTGAAAACGTTAGTCTGAGAAGGCGCAATGGTTCACTCACTTGGGGGTTAGCATCAGCCATGCCGATAGAAGGTAAAAATTGCTTCTATCAGATGATTACAAAAGAGCAGTTTCATTTTGAGACGTTAAAATTAACAAGCTACTTCTTGCCCCGTTTAACAACAGATTGTAGGTCATTTTTGAGATCAGCTACCAATTTGACCATATTGAACTGATTAAACTTACTATTAAGACAGGAGTAAATAATTGTGTCATCAACATAGATGCCAAGATAAGAAAGATTGAATCACTTCAAAAATTTGTCTAGAAATACCATAATCTTTCTACTTACAAAGAAGATCAGTATGCCAAACCCTGTCAAATGCCTTTGAGATATCCAAAGCAACAGCCCGAGCTTCACCATTCTTATCTAAAGCTTGATAGACTTTTTCAACAATAATCGTTAATACATCAGCAGTTGACCTAAAGAAACGAAAGCTATATTGCTTGCAGCAATATTCAAAGCAATGATGAATGGTAGAGTTGTAAATATGTAAGACAGCTTCTGACAAGAAAAATTGTCCGATATAATACAGTGAATCAACTTTCCTAGCTGCAGATTTAGCCGTTGATTCAATATAATCGTTCCACTTCATATCAGCTGAAAAGGTTAGTCCGAGAAGGCGTAAACGAGTCACTCTCCTGCAGGTTAGTATCCGCCATACTGATGGAAAGCACAAAGGGTTGTCTCAGATGATTAAAAGAGAGCAGTTTTGTTTTTGAGGCGTTAAAATTAACAAGCAAATATTTGCACCATTTAACAACAGATTGTAGGTTTTTTTTTGGGGGGAGGGGTTAGGCTAGCAATCAATTTGACTTTATCGAGCCGATCAAATTTCGTATTCTATCGTTGGATTCTTTTCTTTTCATCCAAGTATGTTTTCTTAGTGCTTGCTTTTTATCATGTCCGCTGTCCTTTTAATGGGAATCCAGACTTGGTGATTATCCCTTTTCCGTGTTATTATCGCCGTGTTTTTCCTTTGAGTACATTTAATTCTGCACTGATTGACTCGAAGAATGAACACAAAACCTTTTATCCATATTTTGATTTTCCTTGCATTACAGTAGGATTGTACTTATAAAGGGTGCGATGGATGAATTGTCGTCTAAATGACGCAAAAAATGAAAACAACACTAACATCTCATTTGAACAGATATATTTACCAAAATTACATAAAATTATCTTGACATACTAAAGAGTAAATTAATTCTCTAAAATCGCCATTTTCTTCAAGCACGGCCTTCAGACGACTTCGGAATCTCCTACAACTCTTCTGGACAACTCTGAATTCAAAATCTGGGGAGGGTCGTTTGGGGATCTTGTGTACTCCTTTGTGCCAGTTCTCTGTATTCGGCTCCCTTCAAAAGCGTGGTTGGTTCTACACAAGCCTTCGCCACTAGAATCAAATCATGTGTGGAGTGTACTGACTGTCCTGTGCTAAGAACCGAGTCGCTGTATTCTTGATTGTTTAATTTTCTACGGCTACCAAGAAATTTATTCGAAAGGGTTTAAACAAAAATAAACGGGGGGGACGAGCAACTTGTCAAAACCCGACAATACTGAAAAAAGGCCTAAAGGCAAACCTATCTACTCAGTAAAGTGCTCGAAGCCTAGATTGCCTAGACCAAGCAAAAAACGTTTAACAACGTTAAATCCTATAAATGGATGGCTCTAGTCGTAACCTGAGTTTCACGATCTTCAAACGCCTTAAACGGGTTATATATATATATATATATATATATATATATATATATATATATATATATTATTGTGTGTGTGTGCATTGTGGTTCTATAGAAGGATGCTGATAATATCATGGAAGGGGCATGAGAACATGTAGTGAAAGTGAAAATTTAAAGTGAAATTTAAAGATAAAAGGACGCTTGTACTTAGAGGCAGTTGGAATTTCTGAGATACAAAATGATGAAAGAGGGCTTGGAGAATTTGACACTCACAAGACATACTGAAGACAGGTGAGGCAGAGGGAAAACATCGAGTAACCTGTCTAACGAGCTTGAACAAATCAATGGCAGAACAGACCGGGAGGGATATTAGGGGTCGGGGTTCAATCATTGCTATGCGCTACAAAGGAAAAGAAAAGATCCATAATCGGCCATATTCTGAAGAAACGGAAATGAAGCATACCAGAATTGGCTAAAAATCCTTACAGGAGGCAACGACTGAAGACTGGATTTGTTCAACTTGTCGACAATGTAAGCAACCCGAATCCACCGCCCTCGGGACGACGACGAGGCTAAACGCACTCTCTACTCGGCCAAATTATAATTAAACCAAAAGAATGATTCGCGTTAGAAAAAAAAAAAAAAAACATGGAAAACGTGCAAGGAATTTTATTCTGAGTGGGGTGGATGTCTCTTCTTTCCCTCCCTTTCCTTGGGTCATACTTGTCGTGTCTGCTTGGCAGGTGTCAGCTCCTTGTCTCTTCAGCGACAGATCTGAAATAAATGTTTGAAGAAACGCTATTAGGCAGTGTTAATCGCAGCGGTTTACCGTTAAGTGGACAATACAAAATCTGTTCAAACCCTGTTTAAACCTCACCACCTCCCACTACCACCTCTCCGTCACCCAGTACCACAATATACTCGCTCTATTTTCAGTGAAATACCCGCCAAGCCACTTTGGCCAGGGTAAACAATCAACTCTGTTTCGGGTATTTTTTTTTAGTGTTTAAATATGCATAAGTATGGAAAAGAGTGAGCCAGCCAGTCTTACAGTCAGCTAGCCAGTCAAATATCCGAGGACAGCAAAACATTAAAAAGATATCTAGATTTTCAGACCCTGAAAAGAAAAAGTTAAAGAAAAAATACTCACCGGGTGACCAGGAACACGTTTTCCAAGCTTCGTTTCTCCGTTGTATTAAAGAGTATGATGAGGTACGGGAAAATGGATAACTTTTTTTTATCATTTCGTCACAAGCAATGCGATAATGCCACAAAGCTTTAGTGAGGTCGAAGGACAATAAAAGAACAGGTTTCAGAAGACAGAAAATTACGATTGAAGTTGCATTCAAATTTTTGAATTCGTAGTTTTACTCGGAAGGCTCTGTTCAGCGGCCGCCTTCCCGGTTTCACTCGGAAGGCCCTGTTCAGCGGCCGCCTTCCCGGTTTCACTCGGAAGGCTCTGTTCAACCCGCGGCATTGTTTTGAATTACTTCCAAATGATACCACGCGCTGGAATCTTCACTCTAGGCCGATATAATCAAGTAATCAACGCCTTGATGAATCGACCATTGTGAAATTTGAACCCAGGTCTGAAGGTCAGAACACGTCTATGATATAGCGCTAATTTGAGTGATGGGGAGGGGAGTAGTAATTCTGTAGCAATACTCTCGGATATCGCTTGCCGGTCATGGTATCATATTCCAAGAGGTCGGAACATTTTACGTTATGTCGGTAAAACTCTTCCTGTGATAAGAAGCTAAGAAATTTTTTTGGTATAATTCCGAATCAATATCACAAGCCATTGTTAGTATATTAGTGTTTCACTCTCAAATTTTATGTTTATACTTATTCGTTGGCAGCATGTAACATCTAGGTCACAGAAGTCATTGTCAGTCAGTCTGATTCTCTAGGTCGGCCCATGTGTGTGTCTTTCTCTTGTGGGCGTGTGGACTTCTATCTCTGTTGGGTGCGTATCTCTCTCCATTTCTGCCTGTATGTGCGTCTCTCTCCCCCCCCATAGTCTGTTTCTCTCTCTCCCCCCCATGGTCTGTTTTTCTCCTCTCTCTCCCCCCCATGGTCTGTTTTTCTCCTCTCTCTCCCCCCCATGGTCTGTTTTTCTCTCTCTCTCCCCCCCATGGTCTGTTTTTCTCTCTCTCCCCCCATGGTCTGTTTTCTCTCTCTCTCCCCCCCATGGTCTGTTTTTCTCTCTCTCTCTCCCCCCATGGTCTGTTTTTCTCTCTCTCTCCCCCCATGGTCTGTTTTTCTCTCTCTCTCTCTCCCCCATGGTCTCTCTCCCCCCCCCCATGGTCTGTTTTTCTCTCTCTCTCCCCCCCATGGTCTGTTTTTTCTCTCTCTCCCCCATGGTCTGTTTTTCTCTCTCTCCCCCCCCATGGTCTGTTTTTCTCTCTCTCTCCCCCCCATGGTCTGTTTTTCTCTCTCTCTCCCCCCCATGGTCTGTTTTTCTCTCTCTCTCCCCCCATGGTCTGTTTTTCTCTCTCTCTCTCCCCCCCATGGTCTGTTTTTCTCTCTCTCTCCCCCATGGTCTGTTTTTCTCTCTCCCCCCCCATGGTCTGTTTTTTTTCTCTCTCCCCCCATGGTCTGTTTTTTTCTCTCTCTCTCCCCATGGTCTGTTTTTTCTCTCTCTCTCTCCCCCCATGGTCTGTTTTTTTTCTCTCTCTCTCCCCCCATGGTCTGTTTTTTCTCTCTCTCTCTCTCCCCCATGGTCTGTTTTTTTCTCTCTCTCTCTCCCCCCCCATGGTCTGTTTTTTCTCTCTTTCTGTCTCTCTTTCTCTGTCTCTCTTTCTCTGTCTCTGTTTTCTGTCTCTCTTTCTCTGTCTCTCTTTTCTCTGTCTCTCTTTCTCTGTCTCTCTTTCTCTCTCTCTCTCTCTCTTCTCTTTCTCTCTTTCTCTTTCTCTTTCTCTCTCTTTCTCTCTCTTTCTCTCTTCTCTCTCTCTCTCTCTTTCTCTCTCTCTCTCTCTCTTTCTCTCTCTCTCATGGTCTGTTTTTTCTCTCTCTCTCTCTCTCATGGTCTGTTTTTTCTCTCTCTCTCTCTCTTTCTCTCGTCTGTGTGTGAACCTTGTCTGTTGCTTTATTGATGATCTGATTCCGAACAAACACACACACAGAAAGAGTTGTTTCCGATTTTCTTACTCTCATTTCTATTATTACATACTGACAACTCCCTGTCTTTTCGTCATATCCAAGCTTCTGTATTCAACCTCAGCGACGTTGTTATCCTCATCTGCCTTTACCACGAAAACATTTGAATAGTTAATTTCATTCCTTGTCTGCCATTTTTTTTCCTTTTCGTGACGTTTCTTTTCACTGTCCCACATTATCTGTGGGACACCCGCACGCAATCTTCCATCCTGTCAGGAATTTCAGATCACGATAAAAATGTTTAATTTATTTTATTCCAGTTTTATTTTAATTTTTTTTATTCTATTTTTAGCAAACATTTGGAGATTAAGAAATGAGGCGAGGAAGATGTGGTTGGGCGGGGGGGAATCGAGGTGGAAGCTGAGAAAGGACTGATTACTGAAACACCTTGACAATAATGGGACTTTCTCTTCAACTTCTGATCTTAATCTTAAAACGTTTTTCTTCCCGTTCCCCCCACCCCTTCTCTCTTGAAATCGGCATCGTAGAACGGTGATACTGTTTTGTCTGCGAACGGCAGTGGTTCGTTGAAATTAAAACAGGTTTAAATGGAAAGAATACGAGGAGGAAAGCTGTATATGGAGGAAAACAAATTCTAAAGAATTTTTGATGGCGAACGAAAAAAAAAAAAGCAAAATGAACGAAGATATTAGGAAAGAACAGAAACAGACGATTGGTTTTCAATGAGTAATCTTCAATCTATACCCATATTGAGAGACTACAACAATCATTTTCTTTATTTTTTTTCCTCATATAAATATCTCAGTGTCTGTGGAACAACTGCCTTCCATTTTTTTTTTCCTTCTTTTTGTCTTCGTCTTTCGCCATTGTGCCTTTGCTTCTCCCTGTTCTATTAACTTGGTCTGTTCCCGCCCGACAATGCGTGCCTCCCTTCCTCGTCTCTTATTGTATTTTCTTTACTCTTCCTTGCTCTCTTAGCAACCCGTCCCTCATTTCTGCTTTCGACTGAACTTTGACATTGACCTACTTTTTGCGAAATAATCCCTCATTTTCTTTTGATCTGTTTTTTTTTTTTTTTTTTTTCCGAGGAATATTTCTTTCTATTTCTTTATTTTTGTTTGGTTGGTTTCTTTCTTCATCCATTCTTTACAACTTAATCTTTCATTTTTTTTTCTCTTTTAGCCAGTTTCATACCGCATCTTTTTTTTCTCTTACCTCTGAACTTTTTTATTGATGCATTTTTCTTTTTCATTCATTTTTTCTTTTTCAATCATTTCTTCGTTACTGCTTCTTTTTGATTTGCTTTCTTTCTTTGAAACATTTTATCTTTATTTTGTTTAGTCATTCATTTTTTTCTTCTACCCTTATTTCATTCATTTTTTTCTTCTACCCTTATTTCATTCATTTTTTTCTTCTACCCTTATTTCATTCATTTTTTTCTTCTACCCTTATTTCGTTCATTTTTTCCTTCTACCCTTATTTCGTTCATTTTTTCCTTCTACCCTTATTTCGTTCATTTTTTTCCTTCTACCCTTATTTCGTTCATTTTTTTCCTTCTACCCTTATTTCGTTCATTTTTCGTTCATTCTTCTTTCTATTACATTTTCATTGATAATCTCTTTTTCTCCCGTTGTACAGACATTTTTTTCATTTCTCATCTTTTTTTCTTCACGTATATTTTTCTTTTTCTTTTTTTAAATTTTTTCTTTAAGTTTTACTGTTTTTTATTTTAAAATTTTTCGCCTCTTGTTTTTCTGCCACGAGCTGCTTCTTTATTTTCTTCCACCCGCAACTTCGTCGTCCGTTTTCCTCCCACCCGCCTCATCTACCCTTTCTGTTTTTCTGCCCCCCCCCCACTTCTTCGTCTGTTTTCCTCGCTTGGACTTGTTTTTTTCTCCCCCCACTACTTCATCTGTTCCCCCCACTTCTTCATCTGTTTTTCTCCCACCTCCCACTTCTTGATCTGTTTTTCTCCCACCTCCCCACTTCTTGATCTGTTTTTCTCCCACCTCCCCACTTCTTCATCTGTTTTTCTCCCACCTCCCCACTTCTTCATCTGTTTTTCACCCCACCCGCTCGTCCTCCTCCTCCTCCTACTCCTCCTCCTCCTCCTGTTTTTCTTCCCACCCTCTTTTTCTTCTTCTCCGATTTCCTTCCCACCCGCTTCTTCTTCTTCTCCGTTTTCCTACCCACCCGCTTATGTTTTTCTTAATTTTCGTCACTGGATATCTTCCTTGTCTTCCTTTTTTATCCTTTTTCCAGTCTGCCTCTTTCCTTTCCTTAGCTTTCTTTTTTTTTCATTTCATCATGTCATCACGACGTCTTCTTTTTTAACATTCTTAACTTTTATTTTCTTTTTCCTCCGCCTTCTCCCCGCAGTCTCTTTTTTTTCCGCACTTTTACCCCTTCTCTCCCTTTCTAGCCACTCTTTCTTCTCTCCCTTTCTAGCCACTCTTTCTTCTCTCCCTTTAGTTCATTTTATCTTTCTCCTATTCTTTTCTCTTACTTCCCTTTCTGTCTTTATTCTCACCTCCTCCTTTTTTTATTTTTGTTCATTCTTCTCTCCTCTCACTTATTACAACTTATTTCTCTTCGGCTTTCACCTTTCATCTCCGTGGAAACATATTTTCGTTCTTTTTCCTTATCCAACTTATAAATTTTCTTATCATTAAAAATAATTTTTTTTTTAAGCGCTTCACCCCAAGCAAGGCGTGAAGCCACTAGGACGCAAGGGGTTACAGAAAATTTGGAGCAAGATCAGATAGGAGTGATAGAAGAAAGGATGAGGAGAAGGGTAATGGATAGATCGAGGCAGATTGACATTACATTTGAATAGCTGGAGATTATAGCTCTCAGGGAAACTGGAATAGGGAAGGGAGTTCTACAGGCGAGAGGTGCAAGACATGAAGCTATTGGAGTAGAAGAGACGGCTACATTTAGAAGTTTCAACAGTGAAGGGGTGAGAGCGGGATGCCAGCCTCGTAGGGTGCTTGAACTCATGAAGTCTGGGAACCAGCGAATGCAGCTCCTCGGAGCAATTGACATAATAATAATAATAATGTGGAGGGGGCTACGGCATAAAACCCCGACTTTCATGGGGTTTTATTTGGTACTAGCTTAAAAGCCGCCCTATCGGTGACATTTAACCTAGCTCCTGTGGTTTGGCCATCATTACAATACCTAGGGAGAAAGTTGATGTGATAGGCATCAATAAACTCAAAACTGATCGCTTCATTTAAGAACTGAATTAATGTTTAAGCTTAACTTTTAAAAATTCAACAAGAAGTCTTCTGTTGCCACTTAAAGACGATATGATGTACGTAGGTCCTTATTTTCCGTGCAATCAATTATTTTTATTTCATGGGCGACAGAACAGGGGAAAATTTACAAGATAAAATTAATATAGTGTAAAGATGGGAACATAGAAATTAGAATTAGTTATACATTCAACATTTGAAGAGTTAGAGAAACATAATAACTAATTAAGTAAAACCTACATTATGGATATATAACATTAATATATATGTTTAATCTCGCATAATCCGACAACCTTGACTCTGATCTCAACGAAAATCGTTCTTTGTGCCTAGGTTTTCTCGGGCTTTTGAGTGAGCTATGAATCATAGGAGCGGAGATGTGGCTTGGACACACACACACACGCACTCTACACTTTATATATTCGTGTGTGTGTGTGTGTATATATATATATATATATATATATATATATATATATTTACATTATTCGGACTATTGTCCCCATCTTTGTCGCCATATTTATTATAACGTTTCGGCCGTTTTACGCCCCGGCCTTCTTCAGGTGATTGGAATGTCGCTCACTGGGGTAGACTGTTCTAGTGCCATGTTTAATGGATGTCAGTTATCAGTTATCTCCTGTTAATTCCCCTCTCCAAGTTCTCACTGCCTTAACCGGGTATTGAACTCACACTCTTTGGGACTTGTCACTAGATCTCACTAACGCCATGTGTCCTTGAGGACATCTGTTTATGAATTTCATTATAAACCTAATGTCTTCAGCAACCATTTTTTACCAGTGCTAATATTGCAATTTTTGTTATCATTGCATTTTTTTATACTAGAGCTCATATTGCAATTTTTGTTGTTGTTATCGCTTTTCTCTGGCACTCCTTATTACTGGGAGTGATTAGACGCCAATCGAAACTGATCCTCATCTAGTTTCGGGGCAGGTTACTGGAGAGTAGTTTATTTTAATTTCTTCCTTTCATTGTCTTCTTGCAACGCTGATGCAATTAAAATATCCCATGTCCTTATGCATTCAAAATTTGTCAATGAAAAATGTAAAAGATTATTTAAAATATTCATCGTGTCATAGAATATTGATACCGAAACACAAAATGATGATATTATAATTAACATTGTCATCATGGCATGGTGTTGTATTTTATCTTTTGCTCGATTTAATGTGTTAAGGGCAATTAAAAAGAAATTCTTATCGTGTAAAACAATGTTTTTGAAATGATCTTTTTGTTACAATTGTTGCAATAATCCTGTTTCCTTATTGGCCTTTCTCTTCGCCAACCTTTTCTCAGATTCTTTCATTTTCAGTAATTCCTTACGTAGGTGAATCGTCCTCGTGTGTCCACCCCCGTGACGTGTGTGTGCGCGTCGTCCTCGTTTGTCCCATGACTTAGTGTGTCTGTAGCGTCCTCGTTTGTCCCATGACTTAGTGTGTGTTCGTTTGTCCCATGACTTAGTGTGTCTGTAGCGTCCTCGTTTGTCCCATGACTTAGTGTGTCTGTAGCGTCCTCGTTTGTCCCATGACTTAGTGTGTCTGTAGCGTCCTCGTTTGTCCCATGACTTAGTGTGTCTGTAGCGTCCTCGTTTGTCCCATGACTTTGTGTGTGTGTCTGTAGCGTCCTCGTTTGTCCCATGACTTTGTGTGTGTGTAGCGCCTCCTGACCAATTGACCACTCATCATCCTGTCCTTATCGACCCAGTAACTTTTCAGAACCCCCAGCTTAACACCTAAATTCGCTACCGCAGAGGCTCACTATGGGGGCTAACACGGTTTACTCCAGCGTTCGTACATCCACTCATCGTGACATGCAAGTGGTGAAACAAAAGCTTTAGTGTAAATTGTAAAAATTAGCAGCTTCATCGGAAATTCAAAGCCCCTTTGTTATTTTCACTTTGATGGAAAACGTTATAAACGTCGGTATTCCCAAGCCTCCCCACCACATACAACCATTTGCGGCAATTAATGTTAAAGCTTTTAAGAAATGTAAAAAAAAAAAAAATGCCTGTGAATGGACCATGAAATCGGTCTATCAATACTGTGACGTGTCAAATTAATACAAGATTATATAAGCATTGCTTTAGTCCAATATATTTTACCTATTTATGTGCTCTCCCTCTCTCTCTGTGTTACGCTCCCTCTCTCTCTGTGTTACGCTCCCTCTCTCTCTGTTACGCTCTCCGTTTCGCTATCTCCCTCTCCCTGCTGCGCTCTCTCTACATTTCTGATGCGCTCTCTAATTCTTTCTTTCTCTCGCTCCTTCTCGCTATATATATATATATATATATATATATATATATATATATATATATATATATATATATGTGTGTGTGTGTGTTTTTTTCTCTCCTATATATATATATATATATATCTCTCTCATTCCTCTGAAGCATGCCTTTCCTATTTTCTTTCTTAAAATAACTGTATTGCTCATGAAAATCTTTCCGTTGGTGGTGGGGATCTTTTTATGAAAAGCAAATATTTCAGATAAGTTTCTTAACAAAAAAAAAAAACCCCATAAAATCTCCACTCTGAGGAGGGGGAAAAGGTTCAGAACTTGAAGAAATAATGACAAAGCAAAATAGGGATTTAATGATATAACATTCATAGTTTTTTTAAGTAAATAATCACGTGGCCATGTTGAATCCAAGGGCATGCGCAGAAAATAGATTAATGACAGCCAAAAATAAAGGAAAAATATCGTCTCACCTTAGTTGCAACTTTCAGTCCAATTTTGCGCATCTAATTCAGAGTTTTAATTTTGAGATGCTCCTCTTTCTTGCACCTACATACTCAATGCTCTTACAATTGATGGTTAGTCAATTCTTCTCACCTTTCTTTATTGCCTTCCCTGCGAATTACTGTAGTTTAATTTCTGTGCCTGCTTCTGTGCTCATGTGCATATCAATAATGTCGGCCAATAATAAATCCAAGTAGGATTTCTAGTTTTCTCAGGAGTGCCTCCCTGTAAACGTTGAATAAGTCTGGTGAAAAGACACGTCCTAACTAAGTAGACTGAATCATATTTCCATGCTGATAACCGCTGCACAACCTCACACCTTTTCATATATATATATATATATATATATATATATATATATATATATATATATATATATATAGACACACACACACACTACCGCTCAAGTATAATTTAACATTGTATACGTTTCAACCTGATAAAAAAATCTCTTGAGTGCAACGATCAGAGATCAGGAAGTTAGAATTAACAACATGTCATTCTCAGGCTTCTCAAACCAAGGCCGGACGTTCCGGTAAGTTTGGCTTCTGCGGATGATGCCAGTGAGGTCATCTTCTAAAAGAGGGCGTTGGAAACGGTCAGAAAATGCAAACAACAAAGTCGAAGTCGACAAAACAGAAGAGAAAGAGCACAATATACACACACATATATATATATATATATATATATATATATATATATATATATAACATAATATACACACACACAAATGAAAGTACAGATTGAGTAAAATTTAAAACAAAAAAAAAAGACCTTTTCTGTTAACTTTACGTTTGACACCCCCCTTCAACGCCCTTTCAAAAGATTGAACGTGTCATATTTGTTTACAATCACGATACATTTGTTGCTGGCATATATTCCGCAATTGTCAATGATGTCCTGTCTATGTTCCGGTTTATCGTGACATGAAAAAATAACTTACTCGCCCCCAGATCTGACATTTAATTGGTTAATCAAGACATACCCACAAGTCTAATTTTAATTCTGACCTTATACCTCCCCACTCCTTTAACTTTCGGAAAAGAGGTGACATTTTGTTTTTAAATTTCCTTAAAGCTCATTTAATCACTAGTTACTTACCATCGCCTGAAGAATTACAATCATAGTATTGAAACGTGAAAGCTTTTGTGTAGCGATTTCAGCATGTTATTATAATCTCTTATAATAAAAAAAAATTATATATATAAGCAGCATGGCCCGGCGTTGCCCGTGCTTGATTCAAAAATCGTACGACTCATACAGCAATCGCTATCACGTGACTTAAAATATTTTTACACTTCCTTGCCTTTAAAGGAGTGACCTTTGTCTTACTTCTTGCCTATCTCACACTGCGAATTTTTTCCAAGCTCTATACTAAACATTAAATCTGTTACGAAAAAAGAACTAAACAAAATGAACACAAAACGATCAGCTTTAAAAAAAGGACTCGTAACTGGAAAAATCGAATGAAAAAAGAATGTTAACAACAAATACTTTTTCACACCTAACCCAGTTCTGCGGAATCAGAATCAACGTTGAGTTTAAGCAAGCGAATGAGCCAATTGGAGTAAAGTTCCATGCAGATTTAAATTTTTCCCACTTGTGACGAATGCAGCTATCGATTTTTTTTTTTGCATGCTAGTTAACATTCGTGTCAGTCAACTGTTGGCTCTCACGCTGGCCAATAGAATCTTCCTGCCTATTCGTGGCAGCCAGCTATAGGCTCTCACTCTGACCAGAAGAAAATGGCCGCAAACTACATGAAAACTGCCGTAGAAGCTTGAAAAAATCGAGTATTTCCACTATCGATGGTAGTTGCGACCGTGCATTCGTTACACACACACACACACACACACACACACACACACACATCCTGCTATAGAGAGAGAGATAATGATGCACAAATTTTATATATTAAAAGAAAAGTGCATTCTAAAGTTTTCTTGTGATGTGTTTCGTCCTTTAGTACTTGATAAGATTAAATTTGTTGTTTCGACTACGCATGCGTACAAAGGAAGAATGCTGGGAATTTTAATTTAATTTTTTTTTAATATATAATTTAGCCGATTTAATTTAGTTTCTTTTCCTTTTTCTTTCAATCATTCTTGTTATTCGATATCCCACACTGTCATTAAAAGATCTGCTAGGAACGGTGAAATGATGTAAGAGCCAGGGCACAAATTTAAAGTGAGTAACCTTGCAGAAAAAAGGAAAATATAGCTAAATTAAATAGGCTATATTATTTTTTAAAAATTTAAAAATTCCCAGCATCCCTGTTTCGCGCGCATGCGTAGTTACACCAACATAGTAAATTTAGTGCTATCAAGTGCTAAAGGATGAAACTCTATCACACGAAAACTTTTCCACTTTGTCATACATTTTACCCCATATATACAGTGTGAGATGGGTAAATTGTCGCTATTTTATATTTCTAATTTCGCGCATGCGCGTTGTTCTTGATTTTGTCGACTAAACACTATAGTTTGGCGCCGTCTGTGAGAAAAGAGCAGTCCGCCAAAAATTTGAAAACTACATGATGTATTTGTAGGCATTCGTATAGGAATCACCAATACGAACATTTTAGTGTATCAATCTTAAATAAAGAGCTACCCCGCCATGTTAAAATGTGCATTTCCGCAATATTTTAAACTTAAAGTAATATTTCTTTCAAAGCTTTAAATCAGCTCGTATTCATAAAAAATTCCAGGAAAGTATATTTTATTTTTGTAAGATTTTTTTTAAAAAGAATTACATTGTGATGAAAAATTGCGTTAAATTCAGCAATTTCAAAACGAAACTATTTCCAGTCAATTCAAATTAGTTTTTAAATACAGCAAAGCATTTTGCCTATTGGAAATATTAAATTTAATTTATTAGCTTGAAATTAAAACTAACATAAATGCTTCAATAAAGATTTTTCATTTTCAACTGTTCATTTTACACCTTCGGTATCACGAATCTGTGGAGGTACCTATACAGGGTGATTGAAAAGTAAAGCCCTTTTTATGTATGAACGACTATCTCGTTTAATTATAATATTTACAAGGCGGGAGAGTCCATACATAAAATAGGAAGTTAGTGTTCAATCTCACACACACACACACACACACATATATATATACATATATATATATATATATATATATATATATATGGCCGCTGGTCGATACACTTTGCCAAAAGGAGTGGTTTCTTGATGGAAAAGATAATTATAAATATAAGGGATTTTCCTTATATTTTTTATTTTAAATACAAAAAAAACCAGCAATTCTCGTATAAAATATGGACTGTCCTATCGTTGCAATAACCTGAGATATTTAACAAAATTTAAATTATGTAACGGTCAGTATCAATTCAGCACCTGAAGATTACGTTCTACATGAGACTCCGAGTCATGGTACCCGTGAGGATATATATATATATATATATATATATATATATATATATAAATATAAATTTGAAGAAAATAAACCGCAAACATCTTCTTAACAGTCCTAGAAAGACATTTGAATCACTACCACGCAAAAAATTCATTTTTATAATATGTGGAAATATCTACTCTTTGTTTGAAGAAGGTCGTGAAACTAGAAACCCATGTAGCTGAATTACAGAAAATAGAGTATAATATATATTTTAAAATAAAAAAAAATCCACATTTCAGCCAAAAACGTTTGCGGTTTATCTTTTTAAAATATGAATGTTTAAAATATACATGTGTTTCGTGTTACAGTTACTATCCCTGTTCTTATATGGTGACATTAATAATAATCAGTACAGATTTAGAAATCTTACAAAAGAAAAATTGTGATTCTGACAGGAATCGAACCTGGATCTCTATTTATTTATTTATTTATTTTTTTTTTTTTTAAACCTCGGGGAAACGATTTAAGACAAAGTGTGCCTTCATGAAAAAGATTTAATAAATTTCAATCACGCTAACCATTTTGAATGTTTCTTCTCTATGAAAACGGTTGATTTTTATCCTCATATTTTCTCGTTTCAGTTAAAGTCAGGCAGAGAGGTGCGTCAGTTGCAAAGATTAGTAACTGCTGCTGAACAATGTCCAGAAGACGAAGTGAGTATCCAATTCATCTTTTCGCCTTTTTATACGAATTGCAAATCAGAGATACCAAAATCAAACAAGTACGGAAGTTTAAATATCTGGGAAGTGTTTTAACAGAGAACGAAAAGTGTGACACCGAAATCCGAAGGCGTATTCGGATAGCCAGAGACGCATTCCAAAATCTAAGTAGAGTTCTGACAAATAGACAGAAAATCGCTAGAAACAATGAAACGATCACTAAACTGCTATGTGATATCTGTCCTCTTATATGGCAGTGAATGCTGGACGATCTCCTCGAAGATGAAGAGACTTGAAGCAACAGAAATGTGGTTCTACAGAAGGATGCTGAGGATACAATGGACCGAACATGTGGGTAACGACGAAGATTTAGGGAAAATGGAAACAAAAAAGACATTTCAGGAAGATGGGGGCATATAATGATGAAGGGCTTGGAAAATTTTATATTCACAGGACAGATTGAAGGCAAGAGGGACAAAAAAACATACAGGGTGCGATGGGTAAATTGTCGCTATTTTATTTTTATTTTTTTTAAATTTCGCGCATGCGCGTTGTTTTTTGTTTGTTTTTGTTTTTTGTTTTTGTTTTTTTTTTGTTTTTGTTTTTTGTTTGTTTTTGTTTTTTGTTTGTTTTTGTTTGTTGTTTTTTTTGTTTTTGTTTTTGTTTTTTGTTTGTTTTGTTTGTTTGTTTTGTTTTTTATTTGTTTTTTGTTTTTTGTTTGTTTGTTTTTTTGTTTTTTGTTTTTTTGTTTGTTTTTTTGTTTTATTTTTGTCGACTACTCAGTAGGAACTGTTGGGCACCGTCTGTGAGAAAAAATGAGCATCATGACTCCGTCAGAAATTTGGAAACGGCATGTTGTACTGCTTGACATTTGCACCGGAAGCTCTAATACGAAAAATTCTGAGCGTTTGGGTGTCGATCTGGGGAGAGTGCAGTGGATTCGGAAAGAGTTGGAGGAGTCTAATTGTGATTACGAAGGTACGGCAGCACGGAAAACTCACTCAGATCGTTCTAATAAGAAAAGAACTCCTGAATTTGTTGGTGAAGTCCTAAGACTCAACATGGAGTCCTATATCAAGTGCCTTGAGAAGGTAGTGCTGCCCTGGATCAAGAGGGTGGCTGCTGGAAGGCCCTATGTCTGGCAACAGGACTCTGCACCATGCCACACAAGCAGGAGAATCCAGTTATGGCCGTTAGACAATTTCTGCAATCACATCACCCCTTAAATTTGGCCACCTAACGCCTCAAATTGCAATCCATTATGTGTGGGGCGCAGTTGAGCGAAAGACCAACAAAACTCCTTGTAACACTGATGATGAACTGAAGGCAAGAAGCATTCATCAACTTAAACAAGGAGACCGTCCAGAAGTCATTTGGAAGCCGTAGTTGAAACTAATTATTATTTATTAATTATAATTGAATAAATTTACTCTTTAGTATTTCAAGATATTCTGTGTAATATTGGTAAATATATCTGTTCAAATGAGGTGTCAGTGTTATTTTCATTTTTGCATCATTTAGACGACAATTTATCCATCGCACCCTGTAATTAGTGAGGTTGAGTAAATAGATGGTGGAACAGGGTTTAGGAGAAATAATAGCAAGACAAAATTTATTAAGAGCTGTAAGGCACAGGAAGTTAAAAGCTATGATCGTTTATATGGTACATAAAGAAGACATTTGTAAAGAAGACCCGAAAACAAGCCCTATTTTAATGGGGAAGACTGAAGATCTTTTTTTTTTTTTCTAATGGGGAAGACTGAAGATCTTTTTTTTTTTTTCTAATGGGGAAGACTGAAGATCTTTTTTTTTTTTTTATGGGGAAGACTTAATCCAAAAAAGGCATGGCACGTGGAATTAGAACACTCTACCACACACACACACACACACACACACCCTAAATATAGGGTTCGGTTCGGAATTCCAACAAATATCACCTGAAGAAGGTCGGAGTGTACAACGGCTGAAATGTGAATATGGCAATAAAAATGAGGAAAACAGTCTGAGCAATGTAAATAGTTACAATGCTTCCATTCAGAATGTTTTACGACGTGATCTTAGGCTGTGATATTAAATTGGCCTTGAATCCGAATGATAAAATCAAAACCAAAAATGGTGTCGTGTTATCTGTTTCTTTTGAAGAATATTATGGTCCAGGTCAAAGTTCAAAACCCCTTAATGCCCAATTCCAAACCCCGAAGCAATGATTATGTTTATCAATGTTGATTGTGCTTTCAATCAGAAGCTTACCTTTACAAATCTACTTTAATACACATTTTTGGGTTTAAGCTTCAGAAAAACCATACGGCAAGCCGATAATTTAGGCAGTGAATTCTCTAAACATATTGATTTCAATCTCTGTCTCATGTCCGGATAATCGTTGAACTACTGTATTTGTATCCTTGGTATAATGTTGAATTGTGTTGTTTGTTCGTTTTTACAGGAAGAACTGTGGCAGTGTGCAGAAGACACAGCAACCGGTGAGTTAGAATTCCTTTCTTTCCTTCTTTTTTTTTTTTTTTTTTTTTTTTAATTATTCAGAATCTTTTTCGCGTTTGCTTTTCATTAGTTTTAGGTTTATTTTTCCCCCCCTTTTTTTGTGCTTCAACCGCAACCATCATTTTTGTGTCCATATTTCGTTACAAATTACTTTCTCGATACACATTTTCTCTTACTAACTATAACATTTAGCTGCCACTGGTCTTTGACCTCTGTATCTCTCTCTGGTCCTTGCGCACTCTCTCTCTCCCTCTGGTCCTTGCAC